GGTGATGCTGAATCTGAAGGAAGGGCCAGGAAAGCAGATGAAGGGTGTGAAGAAGCATCGCCAAGAAAGGGGAGAGCAACCCCAGAAGAAAGGCCAGCAGGATGTGTTTGGGGACCACTGTCATTTGACAAGGTTTGTCTTAATGTCCTGTTGCTGCTATGAAAACAACAGATCTATCTCTTGCAGGTCTGTGGGCCAGAAGTCAGAATTGAATCTTATGGAGCTAAAATCAAGGTGTTGGCAGGGCTGCTTCCTTCTGGGAACCGCAGGGAAGACAGTCCTTCCTGGCCCCTTACAGCTTCTGGCAGCTGTGGGTATTGCTTCACACCTGTGTCCACCTCTGTGGTCAGATCACTTCTCTTCTGTAGTCTAATCTCCCTCCCACCCCATCAAGATTCTTGCGATTACACTTAGGCCCCATCTGTATAATCTAGGATAATCTCACCATCTCAAAATCTTTATCTTTATCTTATCTGCAAAGTGCCTGTTACCAGGTCAAGTGACACACCTCACAGGTTCTGGGGATTATACCCTGGATATCTTTGGGGGCCACCACATTGCTTGGGGGATAAAGGACAGGGAGGGAGCAGGGAGAAGGGAAAAGGGAGGCAGGTCCCTCATCTTGGACTTTGGATGTTGTAGTCAAGGGTTTGGACACCGCCCCACAGGGTAAGGAGGCTTTGAAGGGATCAGATGACTAGTATATCTTAGAAAGATCACGCTGGTTGCAATGTAGAGAATTGACTGGAGTGACCGAAAGGGCAATGACATCAGAGTGGTGTCAAGAGGGTACAAATAAGAGACTCTTAGGATTGAAAGCCAGCAGGACTTGGTTCTCAAATGAAAATAGTTCATTTATAAATAAAGAAGGATTGGTCTGGCCAATTTGAAATGTATCCACCATGCTCTGGTTTTCAGTCTTGCTCTGATTTGCAGCAGGAGGCTGGCTGTTTATAGATGACCTCAGCTTTGGTTGGAGTATATTGTTGTGAGTAGAGCTGAGGAAGGGGCAGGCTAAGAATTCCAAATCCTCATTCCTAACTCTTAAATTTCAAACATTCCAGATAAAATGTTCCAGTAATAATCAACCCCTGTGAAGATGAGGAGCCACCAGTAAGGACACGTAAGGCCAGTCACTTTCGGGACCAGCAATTCTGGCTTTTAGCAATGATCCTTAATCACAAAATTTACCTTGCAAATGCCCTTCTCCCTGCTAACCTCCTCCCACTCTAGAAGAGGAAGGGGGAGTCACTTTGATTGCAGACTTTTAAAATAAGTATTCCCTCCCCCTCCCTCCCCCCAAAGAACTTCCCAAGCTTCTTTTTATTCATCTGGCCCTTTTCTGGATACATGGGTCTCAATTGGGTTGGCTGAATTTAAAAATATTTTCATTGACCCTTTTACACACTGATAACATTGTCCTTGCTGACATGGCGTGGAAGGTTAGCTGCAGCTGGATGGCACAGACCAGAAGGACAGGAACCTGGAGGCAGGAACTATTCCCAATGTTGTGTCAGTTGCTGGGACACAAAAATGCAGCAAAGCCATGTAAACCACCGACTTTGGCTGCAGTGTGGTAAGTGCAATCAGAGGGTGAGCAAAATCCTGTGGGAACACAGCCTCCTTGTGTTAGGCCATATAAACGTCAGTCCACTTTCTAATGCTTCAATCTTCATTTTTGTTAGAGTTCGATTCTTGACTAGAAATTCTGTCAGAGACGTGTCAGTTCTATTAGAACAGTTAAAATGTTCAGAAATGTTGCCTTTTGTTGGGACTTGGAAGCAAAGCACCAAGACAGGGCATTTTTGATTTGCTGAGCTGGGTCCCCAACACAATTTAGGCAACATCCTCCCTCCTGTCCAATGCATATGTCAGTTTCTGTTTGCATGAACCCATAAATGCTTTTATGTAATACTAGTGGCCCGGTGCACAAATTCGTGCACAGGTGGGGTCCCACGGGGTGGCCTGCAGGGATCAGGCCCCAGCTTGCACCCCCAGGCTCACAGCCCCAGCTCCAGCCCCAGCCTTGCAGCCCTGCAGCCTCACCTACCACCCTGCCACGCCGCCCTCTCACCTGCTCCACCATCCCACCTGTGGGTGATCAATAGGGGCACTGCC